TACAAACTGGAAGAAAAAGGAGCCCCCTCAAAACATCTACTTTCATATAAATATTGAATTACACAAAAAAAATACTTTCAAAACAACTACTTCTATATGAACATTATATTGTATTGCACATAATCCAACGCCGTTCGTGGTATTAGCCAAGGAAGTAGTTGTTTTCTGATAGGCGTCAGTTCATTCAACCTACTATGTAGGTATATCCGAGACTGGTTTGAATATTTAAAGTTCATTTCTTTAGATTTGTGTACTGCCTGTCTTCAAGCATAGCCCACTGACTAATAAGAAAGTTTTCTTCCTTATTCAGAGGAATCGGTCAAATTTCGGATATGCAGTTAGTTACTACCTCGTCCACTAGATGGAGTGACATTTTTGTTGTTCAATCCAACTTTGGACGAGAAATGAAATATTCTGAAAGAATTTCGATTTTCAATTATGGAATATCATTGACTTTCAGTCGATGATGGCCACTAGCTTGCACTGATGAATAGCTAAAGAGCCCGAAACCGGTCTGTAAGTGTGCCCGTTCCAAAATTGAAGGTCGACTCTTTCAGTTGTATTGCCAATTGCATATGCAGGAAATTTTCTGTGAAGATTCCTGCACTGACGCCTGTCGGATATAATCCAACGCCGTTCGTGGTAGTAGCCAAGGGAGTAGTTGTTTTCTGATAGGCGTCAGTCCATTCAACCTACTGTGTGGGTATATCCGAGACTAGTTTGAACATTTAAATTTATTTTCTTTAGATTTCCATCTGGTACATGAAAGGGGTGACATTTCAGTTACATGGAACACTGTCATCCTCGATGGCGGACATCAGTGTTTGGGAATAAGGCACTAGGATTATTGCCTCTTTAGCACCAATCTGGATAACATTACATAAAATTCACTAAGTAATAAGTTCAAATTCGCTATGAAGGGAGTTATATCATAATTGGTTTATATTAAAACAAAAACAAATACGGTAACGTAAATTAATACAGCAAATAATTTTTTAAATGCCAATTTAAACTTTGCTGTATTGGAACATCATTCGATGCCATTTGGCAATTCGTTAGAAACAATTAATTCTTTTGTAAAATATAGATTTTCTGGAAAATGCAGATTTGAGATTTTTCAATATATAATTTAGTTGTCTTGTTTGATTATCATGTTTTTCTATGATCTGTAAATTTCATAGTGGAGTATTTTTCATAATTTATAACGGACTGCTTAGTTTTAATTTATGAATAGGATTGCTGTCAAGTTGTGTTTTTTATAAACTTTTAGTTGGTAACTTTGGTTTAAAAGTTCTCGATATCCTAATGAAATACTGTAATATTGAATGAATGATCGAAAAGTAAATTAGCTTCAGATGCTTCAGAGAAATATAATTTCTTATTTTACATAATACCTAATGATGGGTGCTAATTTTTTTAAATTACATCAATCTGGATATTCCACTGAGGAGTTTAATCAATATGTCAACCTAGACTTGGACGGTTTTTTATAAATAAACATAAATGAGTAATATTTTTTCAACTCAAAGTTAATTCTTGAATATTGAGTCAAATTATTTGTTTTCAAGAAACCTTGTATAAATTATAAATCTTCATTGAAATACAATCTAAGTTGTATCATAAGCAAGTAGTACTAATTTTTCATTACTAATTCAAATTAATAGGAATTTCAACTTCCTTTCTGTATAGACATTATTTAAGGTAATAGGTAGATTCATTCACATGTCATCATAATATAAAAAACAACAAGTATTCGTCAACCTGAATTCTTATAACTTGCAATTTAGGATTTGAGGCTAAGTTACGAAAGAAACCGTAATAAATGATTCAAGTTTGATAATAAGAACAATATTTTGATACTAAAGAGCATTTTGTTTAGTCATGTCATTGATATTGCGTTGTTGTTTATCTTGGACCCGGATGTCACGCAGATTGCTTTAGCTACACCTATGACTATATTGAGAGTAGTCCTTATAATTGCAAGGTCTTCCGATTATACAAAAAACCAAATATTGCCTATCTTTTACACTTGGCTGTACCATACTGACAAAAGAAAAAGAAGCCAGAAAAACGTGCTTACGGTTTGCCCACTTTCCTACGAGTCCTAGTTAAATTAACATTAAGAAGAATTCCGATTCCGTTGCATGTAACACAATTTTTGATAATAAATTAAATTTTAGAATACTGATATGTAGTTTTATGAAAAATAGAAGATTTTTGGTAGACAGCAACAATATAATGATGAACACAATTTTAATATCGCTCAAATATTAACAAATATGTCTTGACAGATATGACAAAGAGTGACAGAACACAAAATTACATTTAAATATGCGCAGAAGAATGCACAATAGGTCAAAACATTAATAACATCAAGAAGTTGAAACTTGACCTACTTCTAATGTAATTTAAAATCAATTCATGAGATGTGCGAAAGAAATATTTCACTTTGTTAGTAAAATATTAATGGTGATGGTAATTTAGTCTGCATGTTTCCACCCTCACATGAGTATCATATTTCGTAAAATAAATGTTTTCATTTCAGTTGGAAATCGATTCCGGTAGCGAATTGACCGAAAAGTACTTATATGATGAACTTCACCCGACGAACAGTTTGCATCGACCCAAGTTCGAAAAACCAAAAGGACCTCCCAACAGGGGACCAAGGCGTATCACAAAACATCAGTGAAATACAAACAAGTATTATGCTAACGCTTCAGTTTGGTTTTTTCAGAAACGTTTTGCTCAATGATTTCGATGGTGCAAATCAATAACAGACCCCACAATGCTGAAGACAATATTTATAGTTGTATGAAATGTTGGAAAAGGCCAAATTCAGTTGAATAAAATTCCTGTCTTTTGTCAATTTTTCCTGAAATTTTTCAAAAATATGATTTCGAATGGAGTTTAAAAAAAATCTTCATTTATAATATATTCATTGTTAACTTATTTCTCATTTGATATGTACGAGGAATTATTTATTAACTGTAAAAAAGGGCATTTTCATCAACAGAAACAATGTTCAAAATATAACACAAATAAGGAGCAGAAAGTGATATAATCATATCATATATTTTAAGTTCTGTTTAAAATTTCGCTCCATAGCATTTATTACTCTAACGCCGTGATGTCATATGTTCCCAAACAGTGGCGATTTTTGTAATGAAAGAAACCTTTAAAATTTTAATTGAGAGACAAAATATACTCTGAAATTCAAATTAAAATTAAATTTTCATTAAGAAGAATTCCGATCTTTTTGTATGCAACACATGATGATAATAACTTAAATGTCAGGAAAGAAAATTTAGTTAGCATTATATAAATTTGTAGTAAACTCCATTAATTTTGAGGTTAGTTTCATTATACTTCGTAGCCATCTGTCGGAACTGGCCTGAACTTTACATCTATCATATTAAAATCCCATATACTCCTATGGACGCAAAATCACCACTTTCATATAAAGATGCAGAGAAGATTTTGAACAGACTTCAGTATTGTTATTATTGCCAGGAAGTGAACGTTTTGAACATTTACTGGAATTAACTGGACTGAGTTGGTTTTTTTTTTTAATCATGATATTTTCCGCTAGATTGCAGGCTCTTAAGAACAATATAAAATTGCAAATTATCTAAGAACGGTCGATTTCTATAAAAAAAAGTTGAGGGTGTCTTTTTGGCAATGAGTAATGCCACACTAGTTTTTTGTCTCGTCAATGAGTTCATAAAATGTTTTTTTACGTAAACATATGACCTTGATATCTTGCCAGAAGCAATGAGAAGGGGAGACTTCGTACGTCCACACTCTTACCAGAGGTAAAAGTATACTTAAAAATATACTCCTTTCAATTTGAACGAGATTTCTAAGGTTAGGATTAAATTAAATAACTGAATAAATATCATTATGCACTGTCATTGATGATATGAGTAGATTTAACTCATTCGTGACATAAGGTCGTAATTTCCGGCATTGAGGATGGGTTATCTGGATTCATCACGAACCCTTTATATGGAAAATATATCTTCGTAAATATTCTACAAGACAGTGGTCCATTTCTTCGCAACAAACAGTAACTTTCATGTTTGAAACCTATACTATATATAACCGTAGAGAGAGAAATATTCTTTATTGTCTGAAGAACAAAAATTCTTAGTGAGGTGTGTATGAAATGCCTAAGTTCAGTTTGTTCTGAATACTCAGGAAGTGATCATCCCGACCAAATGAAACTAATTTCTACTTTTTGTAGATAGGAAGTTACTTGTGAAGAATTTTTCAACGTTCCAAGACGTTGCACAGTTGTCTGATGATTTAACTTTGAATAAGTTGTTTTGTTTTTTTGTTGGGTATCTGCCACATGTACCTACAAAATCGTAGGTACATGTCTCACTGGAGAGGCAAGAGTATGATATTTTTACCAGAAGTTGGTAAAGTGATAATCCCACAATAGTGTTGAAATACATTATTGATTCTGGACGGTAGCCAGGCGATTCGACGTGGGTGCTTTGTTCACTCACTCGAATTGACTGTCATGTTGGTCGGTGGTTCAAGCCCTAGTCTGAACGATCGATTTTCACTTATCATTGAATTGAAAACTTTACTTCTTGGAAAAAACAAACCTCGAAACGGTCTATAAAGTCTTCATATTTGAGCATTGTAGTGTGTTGAAATGTGCCAAGTATTTAAGCTCAATGCAGAATAAATCTAGGAGGGTTTGAGATAAGGATCTGTTATTTACTGCACTTGTTCTTATCCACTTGCCCCTATTATAGATTAAACTCCTATTTTTGTATTGTGAATGTTAGCAGTAGAGCGACAAACATTTAAACTGTCATTCATCTTCTACCGAATATAAGCATTATTTATACTGCAGTACTGTGTTTTCGTTCAACCTTTTAGCTGATCCTAAGACAAGTTATTTCTGTTCCACATTTGCAATTCATCGGTTTTGCAAAGATACAAATACAGCCGTTCTGCAAATTTTGAGTACGTATTAGACTGAATTATGAAATAATTTGATGAAATACTATGTTAAAAAGTCAAGGCTTGGCTTGATAAACATTATTCGGACTTTGCTCCAGAAGAATCAACCGTTGAGACGTGGTTTGTCCACAATATAATTTTGGATGACCGCAAAGTAAATTTGATGAATATAGCTGAGGCTCAATCAAAATAAACATAGTTTATAAAAAACTAAAAAACATGCTTTCAAAGAATATTGTACTAAAAAGTTGAAAATATTTTTTTTTAAATAATCTTAAAACAATAACGAACGAAAAATACTAGTATTATTGTGAAAAAAGCGACTGACGCTTGATATACAAAAAATATGGCACAAAGCTCCCACGCTTTTTTCACAATAATACTAGTATTTCTCGTTCGTTATTGTCTTAAGCTCATTAAAAAAAAATATTTTCAACTTTTTACTTCGATGTTCTTTAAAAGCGTGTTTTTTAGTTTTTTTTTAACTATATTTACTTTATATAAACTTTAGGAACAATCAGCCGTATATTGTTTAGAAAAATGACCATTGATATTTTCCGATTCCGGAGAGGAAGCCTGAAAATCAGCTACCAAGCCCAAGGCAGCAGGCGCGCAAAGGAGTGTTACAAATAAGGCAGCAGGTGCGCGTGTTAATAAAAAAAATACTGTTTCCAAATGAAGGGATACATGTAAAGTGAGTTCGAATGATATCAAGGAGGTTACGTACAGCGCCATCTGCCCGCGAATAGATCAAGCAATAATGTCGATAATTCTTTCAAATACAGATCCCGAGCATTGTCTAAATCCTTACACAATATCCCGAGCTTGAAAGTTACAAACAAACATACATACATACCAGTGACGGCTCGTGCATTGGAGAACAGGGGAGGCTAAAGTCATAAAGACTAGATACACACAGAAAAGCCCGCTGGCTGTGAATCATATTTGCCCCATAACATTAATAAAAGTTCCTTGTAATTGCCGCAATTAATCGAATATTCGGTTTCATCGTGTCCGTGAAAAGCTAATTCTTGGGAACCCAAATAAATCGTAATATCGATACGTCTTTTTAAATTCGACCGATTTTCCCTAACCTGATTATTAAAAGAAATTATGACCTCTTTTTGAGCTGTATCTAAAGCTGTTGCTATATTTTGTTTGCTG